GTGTGTGTGTGTGTGTGTGTGTGTGAGAGAGAGAGAGAGAGAGAGAGAGAGAGAGAGAGAGAGAGAGAGAGAGAGAGAGAGAGAGAGAGAGAAGTGGTGGGAGAGTCCCATGCCCTCTCTTTCTGTCTCCGTGCAGTTCCATGTTATTTGATGCACATTGAGGACAGTCTGCATTGTGTGTGCACAGGACAAAGTTGGCTGGGCTCCAGCAGGGCAGGCAGAATAGTTACCGAGCACAAAAGAACTGATGGTCGTTCCTCAAAACGGAATGCACGTTGAACTTAGGGTCCTATCCGACATGAGAATGAACTGGGGAAACAAGGCACTCGGATGGTGGATTCACCACCAAGGAGTAAGACCCCCAGAACAACCAAGGGTGAGGTGGCTCCCCCGAGAGGCTCCCATCCGAGTGTTGGGAGTCTCCTTGACAGCCTATGGCAGACCATCAACCAACAACAATTGAAATGGATATCCAACCCCCCCCTAGAGAAGCTAGCACTGTGGAACGATGAGCACACCTCACTAATCGACAGGACCCTGGTAATCAACAATGTAGTACTTGCCTCTCTATGGTATAGGTCGGCCATCTGGGGCTGGACAAGCTATCAATCTCCCTCGGCGGCGGCCAAGCGCGGCCAAGTCCGCGGCCTCGGCCAGGTCCGTGACCCCGTGGATGTGTCCGCGCGGCCGCGCAACTTTGCGGCCGCATGGCGGCCAGTGGGGAGGGGGGTTGAGGATTTGGGAAGCGCCGTGGGGCGGCGCAACCCCAGCCCCACCCCCTCAAACAAAAAAAATAAAAATAAAATAATTTTTTTTGGGGGGGGGGTTGGCTGTGAGTGCAGATAATTGAAAAAATAAATAAATAAAAACACAACGCGCTTTTTTTTTTTTCCCCCGTTGATTTATTGATTGATTGATTGATTGGTGGGGGTGGGGTCGCCCCACCCCCCCTTTGATTGATTAATTGATTGATTGATTGATTGATTGATTGATTGATTGGTGGGGGCGGGGTCGCCCCACCCCCCCCTTTTGATTGATGGATTGATTGATTCATTCATTCATTCGATTTTGCTTTTTTTTTTTTGTTGTTGATTGATTGATTGATTGATTGGTGGGGGAGGGGAGCGTTCTTATGGAGAGGTAACCATGAACTCAAGAATGTTATTAGCAGGGTGGCTTGGTCTGCAGTCATCCAACCAAAATCAAAAGGCGGAGTGGGCATTATTGATCCAACCCTTCAAGCCATGGCGCTCTCCATCCAATGGGTGAAGAAATTACTACTCAATCCTCAAACCCCATGGAATGGTCTGGCGTGGGAACAACTCAAAAGACTAGCTCCTGAGACAAGTGAGGATACAGATCCTCCTATGTGGCTAGAAAACAGAGAATGGCCGATTCCCAGAGGAATATCTGAATAATTAAATTCAAATCAGATGACTAGTAGGGAGGCAGCCAGGAAAGACATCAGCAAGGACTCATTCTGGCCTACTATTCTTAAGACTTGGAGGAAATTACCGATACCGGATAAACACTTCCCTTATACAACAGAAAAATTCCCACAAGAAATGAAAGTTGAAAAAACATTCCATAAAAAAACAATCCTTCATATTTATAAATTATCATTCCAATGTTTGTCCAATTCTAAAATTTTCAGTTTTATTTGATAAGTTTCCGTCTAAATATGAGTTTTCCCTTCCAACTACATCTAATTGTTCAAGATGGAATGGAAGTATGAACGAGTTTATGAAATGTTTTAATTAAACTTTCATTCTACGACAACAAATATCTTCTAATTTAGGTTGGATTAACCTATTTATGACTGAAAATCCTTACTTAGAATGACAGTCCAATTAAAATATTTCATGAACTCATCCAGACTTTCATTCTATCTCTAACATGCAGTTCAAATAAGAAGGGATACCCCAGTCTTGGAAGGAAAGTTATCAAGTAAGACCGAAAATTTTAAAATTGGAATGATATTTTTTAAGATGGAATGAAAATTTAAAATTTAGAATGTAATTTTACTATAGAATGAATATTTAATTCTGGAAAATTTTTCTGTTGTAGGTGGGAGGAGATCAATCAACAACCCCTTTGCAACAACACATGGATCAGGAACCATCAGGGGATCACATTGCACTGCAATGATGCCCCCTGAAAAAACTGGATTAGGAGAGGGGTGACTAGGATCAGAGATATTTGGGACAATGGCAACAGGGATTGGATCGCCTCCCACAACCTTCAAAAGAGGCTTAAATATTGGCAGAACACTCAAAAAATTTTAGACGCAATCGTGGAACTCATTCCCATTGAATGGTTTAGAGTACTTAGGAAAGGGAGAAAATTCCAGGAAAGTGACTGGGTGGCCACGGGAGATGATCCGCAGAGGGTAGGCAATATCATTTTAATATCCCAAGAAAAAGAAGCTTTAATTGCCCCTGGAGAATTAAAAGAAAATAACACATTAACCCTCAGCAAAAACCAGAACCCATTCTGGATATCAGTAGAGATCATTTTTCGAATCAGAGTCGTGAGTCCTGATGTACAGACTTATCTCGCCTTCAGACCAAATACACCCATCTCTGAATTGCCTTTTGATCTGGTATACTGGTCATGGGGTTCAACAATCAAGCCTAACAGGAACTTCCGTAGAGGCTTCCACACCCTATCGATCAAATCGACATATCGTATGCTCAAACCGAGGTTCAACTTGAAGGATAGGGTGACGGAAAGATGGATGAAGCATCTAAGAATTAACAAAGATGACCTCACAAATATCAGATGGTTTAAGGATTCCAAAATAAAGTCATCAAAAGTAGCCTCGCTCCAATGGCAAATAGTTTATCGGTGTCTCCCCACAAATGATTGGCTGGCGGATAGGACTTCTCTGGAAAAAAGCGGAAAAACAGTCCCTTGGTGCAAACTATGTATATCTGCTTTTCCAAGTAGAAAGATATCGGAATCAATTGAACATATCTTTTTAGAATGCCTTGGCTCCATTTGGCTATGGCGGTGGTGGGATCGCATTTTGGGTCAATTAGAGATAAGTCACGCTTGGTCGTGGTGCTGGAAAGCAATACTACTGGAACATTGGTCCCCTGAACCAGAGGACACGTTCACCCAGAACCTTTTTTCTCTGGGAAGGAGAGCGGTGCTCTGGGCGATATGGCAGAGAAGGAATACATATGAATGAGAGAATGTGAGACTAGACGGTCCATAATTCACTGACACAATCAACCATCAAATTCAAACCCATGTAAAAGATAAATGAATATTTTTCAAAGAAACAATCAGATTTAACTCAAACAAGACGAAAATCTCCAATTCTCTCAAACATTTCATAAATAACTGGTCGGGGGGGGGGAAATAGGGAGGGTAGAATGGGAGGATGATGGTAAGAAAGATGAGTCAATCAGCAACAGAAATTTCAAGTTGTTTTTTAATGACTGGACCCAGGTGGAGTCTTCAATCCCCCTACGCCCCG